AAATGTCAGAAATCTTCTCATTTCCTATGTCTGTATTGGTCATGTTTTACAGCCATGTAGTGGAACTGAGCCAACTTCGGTAGAGTACACGCAAATCTACTTCCTCATATAAATAGTAATCATTACTTAACTGGTTACGAATCCACAGTGAAACCAAATGAAATTAATGATGGTAGCACCTAAATATGGAATTCAGCTAAAGAACCATAGCAAATTACATTACACAGAATACTTGATTCAGTGGTGAAACTAAGACTTTTAGGTACCATAGTAAGAACACTGCAGTTCAGTCACTGTGTTGTAGTCTACTGTAACAAATTTTTAGATCGTATTGTTTCATTAATCAATGTTATTGATAATCATCCGCTGCACTTTCAACTCGATTGATTCCGCATATTTCTGTTTTTCTTTACCATTTCAAGTGAACGAAAACACTATCGTAATGATACTTGTAATTTCTCGTTGCTGTACGAGGCTGAGTCTCTCGGTTTCTGTTGGCAGGTGGACTCCTATGAAGATGCTTTGATGAACGGTACTGGATTCCAGCCTCAATGGGAACAACGCCCACTTGGGTGCAGGTACATCCAGCCGACGAGTCCCAAATAAGATGAAAAGCGCTCCATGAATTCCTCTACTAGTCACCAAGATCAGTAAAATATCATGAATATCTGGCAGAATTGAGGTGTCTGCCTAGAAGCCCATGTGCCAATTGTGGTCGAGCAGTTCACCCTTGTCTAGCAATATATACGAAAAAATCGTTTTATTACTTCTATGTTACTAATAAATGTTCAAGTAGTAAAAGTATTTCAATGTTTTTTAATATAGGTGCAAAATCTGGACAGTGGTTTTTTAAGACAATCTGGACGTGATTTTTGAACGTTTATACGAAATGCCTATCTAGATTGAGGTAACAATCACTCAAGAGATAGAACTAAAGACTGAAAAGATTGCCGAGCTTTTGCCACCTCTGATCCCAGAAGTGACAGTTTTAATTTGGAAAACAAACGATTGAAGCGAAGAAATATATCTTTTCAATTCTCGCCTTATCGACAACTCTACACTAACATATAACACTTTCAAAAAACAAAACAGCATTATAATCTAGTGGTAACAACTAGTAAGTAACACATTATCATTCCCAAAGTAGCATGTCAGTGATAATTAACCAGAGTAATAACAGCAGTAGATAAGGCTGTCACATAATTTTTATTGTGTTGCAGATACTTCACCAAAAGGCAACAAAGTCAAATTGATTACAAACATAGGATGACCAATTTGCGAACGACTCGCAGACTGCATGGTCTACGTTGGCATTTTCCTCAGCTGAGTAGTTTTCCAAATGCCCAACTCCAGTTTGGCCTCTGGCCCAAAACTGTCAAGAACTTTCGAAATAAACTGCTTAAAAACTTGCGATCTTGGCTGGGTGATTTCCAAAGGCCTGCTGGTAACGCAGTTGGGTAACTGACAAACTACTCAGCAACGTGGACCTTGTAGTTTGTAGGTCACTCATAAATTGATTTTCCTATTTTAGGTTTACCGGTCTATACAAGTCAGATAGTCAGATTCAGATAGTCTAAATAAACTCAAACCTGTAAGCTAAATCTTTCCGGCTACACCACTGATAAACCGAATCCCAAAAGAGCGAAGTGGCCATCTGGTGTTTCGACCACTCTAATCCACAGATAAATCTGAGTGGTCCCTGACTACTCAAGTTGTTCGGTAGTACGTTTCAAGTTAATTCATGTTGTGCTATTGATAAGCTGAATCCTTTATCCGAAGGAACTAGTGAAAAAAAGGTCCAACACCTTTGAATGATGATGCATAATCGATATGGAACCAAAAATTAAAATTTTTATTACGCTACGGTTAAGAAGTTCCGTGGTTAATTTACGCTTCGTTACCTTTTTAGTTAATCTGTTAGTAAGTGGTGTTATGAAGACTGTCTTCATTCTCCGCTTTAAAGTATGAAGTGCGTGAAGTTAATTGAATAACTTGTCAAAAATTGAAATCCAAAATGATAATTTGAATAAATAAATCACATTGCGTGATATATACTGCTGATATGGATCAGTAGTTTGAAACTAAATTTTCCAGTCAGTTGCCCTTAGTAAGCAGGTTGAGGTGGTGTACACACTCAGTCATCGTTTGATGATTTTATTATCTAGCTCATCAACCATACATTCCAGTTAGTTCTAATAGAGTACCCAGATCCAAGTATACTGTATGTCAACCGAAATCTAACTCTCTATATTGGATAATAAAGGGAAGGCAGTCGAATACATGTAATCTCATACTCAATATTATCACTTGCCTAAAGAATGCAGAATTGCAGTATGCGGTGTTTTATGTTGGAAGGCCGAGCATTGCAAAAAGAAAGAACTTACTGACCTGGTCTCTGAAAATTCTCCAAGGTGGAACGCTCATATGCCCTCTCTTATTGTAAATCCAGCTAGTCACACTCCATATTTCAAAATTCTAGCACTAGGCTTTTCAAGGTTTCTACAAAGAAATCAGGAAAAACTGACGAGATAACAATCTAAGCATCAGAATAAGCATGATTGCCATTGATATGAAGTCTAATCGAATTGAAATCCACTCAGCAACCAAATGTTTGTTCGCGCAGCTGGCAATCAGCCAAGTCTAGTTTTTAAGGGCTACCCAAAAACATGGTTGGTGAAAACGGATTCGAACCCCTGACCCTGATGTCGAGTGCTGAAGCCGATGATCGATAACCATAAGGTAGCGTGCACCGTGTCTATTGAGTTCACGTTTATGGTAATGGTAAGCATCTTAATTTTCAAACACTAAGCCGATTGTATAGTCGGACCATACCAGCCAGCTTGGTAACTAAATAAGCGCTCACTGAAAAGGTATCAATTTCTTCTCTTGACTTGAAACATACGTCAGCAACAATTTTTTTTTATTCAGAAAGCATCTTCACAGTGAATAATTCTCATCATTTATGTGGTAATTAGAAGTTTTCTGACTTCAACAAATGATAAAAAAGGAACTAATTTCTGATAAAACGTAAGTTCTCTAAGGACTGCTAATATTGCCTGTTGATGAGTCTCAACAAGCATAAAACCCAACTACAGTGTCTCATATTGAACGAGTCTTTTTCTCACCATCAAAATGGAAGCACCAGTCAAGGGGCCCAGACTAACCTCTAGATTACGTAAGTTGATGCCAGGATGTAATTTCCCCATTGCTAAGTAACTTTAAGTATCCCTCTTAAGTCATAAACCTGTTGCCTATAACTCAGTGAAATTCCTTAGTCTAGGTGAAACCAACTCCCTTTCAGAGTTTTTGGACCGAACTTGTATAAATCTCAAGCTGCATTCAAGTGGGAAAATGTATTCACCTCAAACTTGGCTTAAACTATGCTGTCCAATTCCACTTTGTAATCGAATCACCTGACGATAGTTTATCGTAAGAAATATTCTTACTTCACACTTTTCCCTTTGTTTCACTTCGCGTTACTGTTGAGGGCTTTATTTTTTACCGCATTGTTTACGGGTTAGTAAATGAATGACTAATTCACTGTAGTGAAATGTCACTGGATGATTCTTTGGGAAATCGCGATAGCATTCTACTCTGTTTGCCACATGAAAGATTCTTATCCACCTTGTAAATTGAACACATAATAACAATTTGAAAATGACTTCAGAAATTAGAGTAGAGGCTGACTTATTTATTCACTCAGACCACATAATATTATTCCTGTATGTAAAGGTAAAGTAAAATAAACATTAAAAGGTAAATGGTAAACTGTTCAAGGGTAATTTACTGTCTTCTAATATTCCACATCCGAAATGTCCTTAGTTATTCATTGTGGATTGTTAGCTTGAAATCAGGATTATAGATCGTTTGAGCTATTGTAATATTCGAAGGGTATTTATTGATAGTATAGGTGTAAAACTTGGGCACTGTGGTCGAGTGTAATTCCATTTTAGTCTGTTTATTAGAAATATCACACAGTAAATGCTGCTGTTTCACTGTGTGATATTTCTAATAAACAGACTAAAATGGTATTTACTGATAGCTTTTGGACATTTTTGAATAATTATCCCACAAGTACACTGAAGTAATTCGGCCAGTTTTGACAACGTTTCAGACAAACAAATATTTTGTTCAGTGATATCGGGTGGATAGAATAAATCGTCCCATTAAGGTCTTTAGTAATTGTCCTTGTGCAAACTTGACAGACTCAGAGGCCAATCACTAATTATTCGTATTTTTAATGTGTCCACGAATACGAGAGAAAGGAAGAACACGACAGAATGGTAAGGTGGAATAGTATATTCTCCAGGTCGTGTCAAAATACCGACGAGTTCCGACTAGTTGGCTACAAGGTCGATTACGAGTAGTGCAATCGTAACACGACAGCGTGTTAAATGGCATGGATGCTTGGCCATGAGCCCCCAGCTTAGCGAGTCTGATAAAACTATGAAGGTCGGCATCAATGCTGAATCTCGTCGAACCCAAGGTTGTTGATTCTGGTCAAGTATGTGGCACTACAAGTTCTTTTTTATAATGTTTCACCTCCAGGAAAGATTTTCCAACGGTTCAGTTTTTTGATATATTGATACCTAAAGTTGTACTTGAAAACATGCCTCAACACTGAATGGAAATAAGCAGATGCCTCCAGTTAATCGACATCTAGTAATTTTTACTACAAAGATGGGTTCAAGCGTCAACATTTCACTCCCCGATCGATAGAATTTAGACAGCTCTATAAACCGGCTGACCTATCCATGGCTACAACAACTAAAAATCAATTCACCAATAATGCATACACACTGCTAAAATAGTGATTACGAGACTAAAGTGATGAATTTTCAGGAGTAAACAACATTCACTGTTCAGTCGATTGATAAAGCTGGAATATGTACACAAACACACAACCAGACACAATCCATATAAAATGTAAACACTGTATTATGTTTATTGCATAGTAGGCTGAGTTACCAATATATAAAATATTTTACATTTTATGAAATACACATTTAAATTGACTGAAAATGATTTGGATTATTTCTCAGTTGTATTTCATTCTTATATCCTTTTACTTGAATACTTCCATTCGCTCAGATAATGAGGTGAGATTCATTTCATCTAACATTCTGTGTAATCTTCTGTACATGTTTATACAAACCACCTGAGATAGTAAATATGTCCTTCTATGTATGTAAGTGAGTTAGACTGTCAAATTTGTCAAGATTATTTCGAAGGATATTCCATTCTGTGCCATAAACCCTTACATTGGCATAGTGAGCGTATTCAGTGACAATTGAAAGAAATTAGCTAAGCAATCTCATAAACAGTTTTTATAAAGCGAATTCAAATCGGTTAGAGAATTATTTAGGATCTGAAAGTACTGGATAGCTGCTTTTCCTAAGATTCGACAAGAGAGGAAAATGTGAACAACGACAAAAAGGTATAAGTGACCAGTACAAAACACTAAGGCTTGAATTTAACTGCAATTAAATCTGTATTAAAAGTCACTCACCAACATTTTCTGCATTCATGCAGTAGACAATTAACTACACCTATCGTAAGAATTATTGACACCACCTATATGTATAAACCTCGGTAGGTGGAGCGGGTTTTGACCTATGACCGATCGGTTGCAATTGTTGCTCATTGGTCTAGATGCATGACTTTCGTCCAATCTGTTAAGGGTTTGAATCCCACTGCACCTACTGAAGTGTGAGCAGTCAGCTGGTATCGTAAGACCTCACACAAACGTGCGGGGTTCATTTCCTATGCTATGAAAGTGCATTCGGTTACTAAGACCATTTCAACTGATTAGATAAGGCTGAACTGATTAATTCTCATAGGTATGTAGTTACCCCAATAAAGAATTTGATCACTTTTTGATGACATTTTGTAATGACTAGAGGTGAAGCTTAAAATGTATGGTTTATCTTGTTTTTGAGCATTCAAATATAGTTAGATCATGGCTAAGTATCATAAATGAGGCAAAACGCGCATCCTAGACTCCATTGCTGGTCATCACTAACCACAGTCAAAGACTATTGGCTATGATATGGGATGGTAGAGAAAAAATTCGGGTCCAAGTTAGTTTAATTTAACTAATACCCTTTCTGCATTAGTATTTACAAAAAATATATCAGCCAATCTGTTAAACTTTTGATCTATACTAAAATGGCCTACACTTTGTTCAGCCAGAATAAATATCCAATCAGTTCGACTTGAGGTACACAAAATTAGACTTAGATGAAAGCCTCAGTGTACAACCTCATCATCAGAAAGTCACTGGTAGTCAGTCTTCAATAAGGAAATGGCCATAAAAATCAGTTCATATTTGTATTAATCTAGTTATTTAAAGAAAAGAAGGGTTGGTTTTCACTTTGCAGAATAAACTGTAACTATCACTTCGCAGTACATAGTTTTGATGACGTTCAACTTCCCCGCTATTCCCGTACTCTAAATGAATATTTGCTTCTTTTTTGATGATATTCTGTCAACTTGATCACCCAGGATACGTCTCAACATCATTTTAGTGACGTACCTCCATACAACCTTTGTCTGAAAGTTTGAAGCTGTTTTCCAATAGTGACGTTTGCAAAATACTACAAATGGTTTTGTACAACAACTCATGTGATACATATTGTGAAGTGCTTTCCCACATCTCCGTAACCCAAGAACTTTAAGGCTCTTTATACGACAGTGAATTTAGTAAACACTCGAATGCACCACCCTTCAGCACAGTGTCAGTTTCCTGTGCTTTGTGATACAACATTCTTCGCACACAATCTGTTTTCACCATCGAGTAGTAGCTGAATAATACTATTCAAAGAAATCGTCTTACAACTTTGTCAACTCGTTTCTCCAAGATATTTTCATCCTTTCTTCTTCGACTAGCTTCGGTGATCACTGACCACCAGAACATATCCTTTAGGTTTCATTTCGAATCGATAATTTCCGGTTTTATGGATGGCTTTTTCTTCTAAATGAAGCATCCTTTTAAATGGCTATAAGCAACAAAGAATTGCGTCAGACAGTGGTTATGTTCATTAATTTAAACTAAGGTCGTTTCTTACCCAAGGTAAGTGAGTAAACGTTGCAGTCCAATACAAAAGATATTCTGTTCCTACATGTGACATTCCTCCACTTGAGTGTTGTGCTTCAGGTGATGAAGAAAACAAATGACAAGTACTTTTAGGTGCAGATAACCAAAGATTCTGGCGTTTTACCGGAAATCTTGCTTTTTAATTGCCAAGAATCAGATCCCTTGTTTCTATTCACAATTCCACTGATTTATTGTTGGCATCAATTGAATTTAGCCTGAGTTCATATTTTAAATGCACTATCTCAACTTCTAGTTGAATTAATTTAATTTATTGTCTTAATTTCAATAATTCCAAAATGTCAAAAGCAAGAAAAAGTCCCTTGTAGCATATTTCCCACGACAACATGAAGCGCTTGAGCATAATTGTCACACATTGACAGCAAACTTCACAAATAACTAGATTATAGGTAAAATAACAAACACTCAGTTGTTCTCACAGTGCTTAAGGACATCACGACAGTTACTTGTTTTCCCACGTTAAAGTTTACGCAAATGCTGATTCTTGATTAAACCTTGCGGATTACAGAATACCGCACCACAAAAATTACTCTCGTGAGTTACAGTTCTTCTATCTCAACCTAAGATATAGTTGAACTTGTTTAAACGCTAGTTGAACTCTTGTCTACATTGCTTGCTGGCGAGAGCGAAAGACAGTGTGTGATATCTGATTTCTTACAAAGATGTACTCTGTGTTATTCTGCCCAGTCTTGGGTTAATTCACTGCTTGAGTATTCCTTCTTCTCAATTCCATGATATTATCTGCTTGGGCAACTAGTTACCGATTTCTGTTTCTTACGGACTGCTTGATATATTTAGTTGATGGAAAGTCACGGAAATAAATGTTTTACAGTTAATAGTCTTTCTAAGTTGGCTGATTCTGAGAAGGCATTTCGTGGCAGCATATCATACTTTCAGTCTATTCAAACTAGGAAACCGTAAGCTGAGCTTTATGCAGTGAGCCAATTCTAAAATTCTTTAAAAAATTAAGTACACTTCATATTTCCCAAGAGGTATTAGGCCTTTCATGATATGGTGGCCTATTTGAACTTTGGGCAACCTCATTTTACTACGGAATATACTGCATCAAATTCCTCTTTTCAAAAATTGTTTTAAACACACAGTTGTGTCATCTAATCATATTATATACTCTAGAGTGTTTTTAAAACCATTAGAACCTACCGCTTTACAAATTGATAAGCATATTAAGAAAAAGTACCATAGTGGATGGCAACGTGCATAGATGAGCATAGATCAAGTAACTGCTTCAAAAATACTTAGCACAAACTGCAGGTCATTGCCGAAGAAAACTGATTGCCTTCGGTAACTTCTATCCACAAATGTTTATCAGAATATGGATGTAACAATGCTGCAGGAAACATGGCTTCGTAACTTGTATGACAACGATTTAGTTTGCTTAAATGGTTTCAGATTATTTCAACAAGATCGAAGCTTTCCTAAGAAGGAATATGGTGGGGGTGTAGCAACGTTTTTCAATACATACTCATCTGTCTCAAACTAGGTTTTCTTTAGCTTCTCTAACGAAAAAATTGAGTCCAATACCATCAGATATCGTCCTAAACATTTGAGTAAATACAAACACATATACACAACACACATTTATGTCACACCTCTCAGATTTGTCAACTTTTGCTGATGAATTCACTAAATCCACTGGATAGCATGTGGACACTTTAATTCATGTGACTACATTTTCCTTGTATCATCAAATATGGTTGACTTTTCTACTCGTCTCCACACCACACTAGATTTAGTATTTACAAATGACTCTAACATATATGAAACCCATAAACGGGATCAGCTGTTGAAACCTGACCACTGTATTGCACGTGTTTTGCCCAAAGTGTACCGCAAATTATGCAAGAAGACTTTTGGATACCTTCCAAGAAAGTCCAATATAGATGCTATTCACAAAAGAATATACTACGTTTGAGCAGAATGTTTAAGGAAATAGACTGGTGTACATTTGCTGATGAAGTTTATATCATTATTATTTGTCCCTTCGGTTCCTAGTGGGACATAGAGCTTCAGTAGCATGTCTCCATACCACTCTCTTCTCTGCAGTTTTTTGAACCCGGCTCCACATCTACCCAGAAGCTTTCATTTCATCCATACACCATCTCCTCCATTATCATCCCCAGCTGCAACGCCCAACTAGCCGTTTCCCAATCGCATTACACGCAACAGCCTGCTCTGGCGTGTGATATCTCCAATCAGTCTTCTCAGTGTAAGCCCAATCCATCTCCACTTCCTTCTGCACATTTGTTCAGCCATACGTTTTTGGTTGGTTGTTTGCCAGGTTAGAGTTCCTTCTTACTTATTCTTATTATTCTGGACATCTGATATTCACTATCGAGCCAGAGTGGGCGGCAGCTGTTGATGAATATCTCTAGTTTGTTGGAAACGCTTTTCGTAATGTACCAAGTTTGTGAACCATCAGTTAGAAGCACTGACTTGACTTCGGTGTTCAAAATTCGAAACTTGTTCACGCTCTATGCTGAGTGGAGTGCAATACATTTCCACACTGGTTTCAGACTCGTGCAGGAAGGCCCGTCTCGCTTTTCTGATCCCAGCTTTGAGTTCCTCATCTGGTCCAACGCCACCCATAGTTGAAACGATCCATCCCAGACAGGTAGGTGGAAGAGACTACTTCGTTCAGGTTTCTCCCTTCATGGTGATTGGTGCTTGTTGTTGATGCTGTTGTTGTTGGTTGGGTATATTCATCACCTCTCTCTTCTGTACGTTCTTCGAAGTTCCATCTCCGCTGACCTGCCTCTTCTGTCAACTTGTTGGTTTTGCCAGTTGCTCTTCGAGTTTCTGTGACGAGACATTACACATAAATCATCATCGGTGAAATCCAAGTCTTATTCTGGAATCTTTTCATATGTCTAGCCAATGTATGCCACTCTGCTCGATCCTCACAGTTCGTCGCATGATACAGTCCAGCTCAGTGCACCACAACCAGGAAGATGGTTGGTGATAGTAGGCAGCCTTTCCTTACTCCTTGCTGTCTTCACTTCGAAGGCGTCACTGAGCTTTCCATTGTGAATCAACTGGCATTTGACGTCGTCATATAGTTGTTGAATGAGGTTTATAGAGGTTTATGGTACTCCGTATTCTTGAAGCAACTGCTTGCCAAACTACTTCTCTGTCCATTCTGTTGAAGGCCTTTACAAAGTCGATGAAGTTGAAGTGATATGGAGAGTTGACTGCTATTCTATGCTCTGTTCTATAATGATGTGTAGCGTTGCGTTGCAATTTGATCCGCACATGATTTCTTCTTCCTGGAGCCAGCTTGTTCCAGTCATAACTTTGAATGCGGAGCATCTTTTAGTCTCTCCACTATGATATGGCTTAATATTTTGCTTGGTGTGAGAATGAGCATGATTCCACATCAGTTCTTGTTGTTGCAAAGACTTGTTTGGCCCTTGCTTAGGAGTGTGACAAGGTAGTCCTTCTTCTAATCAACCGGCAGGTACTTTTCCTTCCTTCCTTTCGTCGAAACCTTGTGCAATAATGGTGTGAGCATGTGGGCTGTTGTTGTCTCTGCATCTGTTTTCAGTGTTTCTGGCGGAATTCCATGGAATCCTGCTGCTTTCCCAGTTGTCAGCAACTTTCTAAAGTGGTCGGCCAATTGTTTCTTTTGTTTCTCCTCTTTCGTAACTTGGTGTTTTTCCTTTTCTTGCATTGGTTTTCTCTGTGCTAATCTCTTCTCAGATAGTATTTTGGTTATTTGTTACACCGTCGTCATGTCTCTACTACCAGCAGCCTGTTCTGCTTCACTTGCCAGTGTGTCGTGGAAGTGTCTTTTGTGTTTAAGAAAACACTATTATCGATACCACAATTTATCTCAGATTCTGTCCCGATATTCGCTGCTCAGGTGGAACAACTTTCATGAAATCTGACAGACTTTCCTGTCCTCATCTTAAGAGGATCCGGGGAGAAAATGAAAGGTCGCAAAAGAGATTTTACCCTGGCGTTAATAGACTTAACTGATTAATTAAATCTGAAGTACAATGTCTAAATACTATATGCAACCAGAAGTTTCTATCCTGTAAAAACTCTTCCAATATACGGACTTTATTCACAGAGCTTACTGTTAGAAGATAGATAACAAAAAAAGCTTGTTTAAATGTCTGCGCGTCAGATAAATCATTTATACGTCGGCAAGCTGATTTCATCCTCCCTTATGTCTATAATCAAAAGTATAGCTGCCTTTCTGGTTTTAATGCTTGACATTTTTAACTGTCTTAAATCTTTATACCCATTGCAATAATTAAGTCCTGATGGTATTTCGAGTATGATATTTATAAAATGTGCAGATACTTTGTGTGATCCCCTTGTAGATATCTTCATTGCATCACATTACCCGCTGATTGGAAGATCCAATTTCTGCATATGCCTATGTCATCTTCGGGATCAGATGTTGTTTTAACCTATCACAGTAACTTCCGTTTTTGGAGACAATGAAGAAATTAATTTTCCTTGTTCTTGAGCCTTCCTCGACGGTTTTCAGAGATTCAAAACAATTTGCGTACAAACACAGGAGAAGTACTTTACATGCCGTCACTGTCTTGCATCATAATATTGTTTTTCAGTCTAAATAAAGATGTCAAGTATGCTCTTTGTGCCTTTTTGGATTACTCATCAGCATTTGAATTTGTTCCTAGGCCAAACTTGTTAAATGAGCTTGCCATGGCTCATACTTAGCCATGGGTTACAAGGTGGCTGCAAGCTTATTTTTCTGGAATGAAACAGATATACTGTTTATAAAGGTATGCGCTCTACCTCACTACTCACTGAAGCTGTGGTGCCATAAGGTGCAGTGCTTTCTTGTTTCCTGTTTTCATTCCATTGAAAGTAATTTTAATAAGTATGCTGATGATCTGACAGTTTCCATTTCAGTTAACTCTTACTTAGATTACTCTGAATTAAATGGATTCTTTTCTATAACTGACCAATGGTCTCTCTCAAATGGTCTCAAGTTTAACCCTTCTACATGCTAGACAGTTAATTCTAGCCTGAGGGGAAAAAAATCATATGATCTAATTAAATCACATGACGCTTTTTGCATTGATGACATTTCTGCAGAAAACAAAGTGTTAACTGACTTTGGTTGAGTTTTACTCCTAATCTTTGTTGGTCGTCTCATATCTCGTTGAATTGTAGAAAAAATATTTTGTTGAACGCATTACGTAAAAGAAATGAGACTCCCTGGTATAACCCAAACTCCACTTTTACAATTTGTTGATTGCTTCATTTTCCTACTCTTCTGTATTCTTCTACTCTGATCTTTTTGTTCTGCTCAAAAAGGTCTGTGCTATGTTGCGTATGGCTTTGAAAGCCATCAGTAAGATGAATGAGATGCCTCAAGTCCAACTGATTAACATTGTAGATGATGGACATTTAAATTCTAGCAAGAAGTTAGTTACAGTAATTTTAGCTGACAGTCATCCTCCAATTCATTCACAGCTCCCACCTAGTATCTCCACAGGGAGGATAAGAAGAAACTACATAAGACTGTACGTTCACACCGCCAAGTATAAGAATTCGACTTTACCTTACCTAGCACGCAGATTACGTGAAGATAAAAGTGTCGTTGTTGTTGCAAAGTATCATGCTGAAAATTCCAAACAGCGCTAAAAATTGTTTGGAATAAAGTAAATATTTTTGCTGTTGTACATTTATGTTTTACATTTTCATGTTACTAAGAATGGATAGTTTGTGGTTTTGATATTTGTGTATTTTTCTGTAGGTTTTTCCACCTGGTGGACGTTTCGATATCCAAATTAATTACACAAACGAACAGTCGACAGTAAGAAATGGAGATGTTTGCGACTTGCAGATTAATTATTGTGATGTTTTCATAAAATTTGAAATGTATGCATTGATTGGGAAGAATTCAAGGTAATTCATCCACTTTCCTCGCTTTTGTACTGAGTGCAAGGAATACGTTACAAAGTAGTAGTAAACACTTGTAGTTTAAGGTATAGATGAGGATTATTCTTTGTAATGCTACCAGATTACTAATCAATAGGAAATAATCATAACCGCTTTATTCTTAGCAATATAATACAATTCTCAGAATATGATAATTTAACAAATTCGCTCCCTGTACACTATTTCTAGACGAAATAATTATTACATCTGAATAGTGTTAATGATGAAAACACTATTAAAGACTATAACGTGAAAAAGGCAGCTGGTATTACACTAGCGTCTGGTTTGAACTCGGTAATGAACACAAAATGGAGTGCAGTTTAGTTGGTGGTAGTTCAACCACCCAGTATAAAAATTTGCAATCGCACCTATGTCTCCTAGGAATAGTAATGTGGTGTATTTATGAGCCTTTATAAGTCCATTTGCATTCAGCGTAACGTTTTTTCTTTCGTTCTTAGCTTGAGAAACGAAAGCTCGAAAATATTTTAAAAGTGTGCAAGAGTACGTGATGCATTTAGGACATATTTAGAAGATTAAAACAAAGTGAAAGGGAAGGATTTGATAAAATCTGTTGCATGGGCAACATTTTGGTAGCCCGAGGTTTAAGCAGGCCGCCTTCACAACATTGACACAAGTGAACTGATTTTTAAACATTAACTATCCCGGAGAGTAGTTAAAAGGGTCTGAATCAGCAAACTGAAAAACTAATAGAAATTACTGATCTTTAAAAGTTTTCCTTTGCTTTTGATCAACTGCAAAATGATTTCCCTGTATCTGTTCCATGGTTCTACATAGTTGAAAAATACGTTGTCACAGCACTATATACAAACAAGAAGATTATCTCAATGTTGCTTGACGGCAGAGTATGAATAATGCTCTGCCTATTGACTGATAACGGTATTGATGTAACAGTAAATAGGTCTCTTCTACACTTGGACATAGTATTTATCAATTATGGAATGCATAAACGAATGAAACTCTAGATAAACCAGACTGTTGACTGAATTTAAAGGAAAGTTATACCAATTTGGAATTTAAACCAATCACTGAATAATCAGATATCAATTTTATTTCAACCATCAAAATTTTGTTAGTTTCTGTTAGAAAAAACTTGTGTCAAGTGTCTAACTGATTAAATAGAAGGCGGTTATTAAAACTTGGCCGTCTGCTGAACTACTGTTTAGACTTCCGCATTCAAACTTATTCATACAAGCATCAACCTGAAAGTAAATAAAATTTTAGACTCCCAACAAGCAATAGATGACAGTAATTAGACTTCAAGTATTAAGTCAACAGTTGGCTGAAGTTGACATGGATGAAAATTCCAAAAGAGTCAAAACAACAACAGAAAAAGGTGAAAAGATAGATACGAAAGCCATTGCATAAAATGATGTGAGAAATGAACTGTTTACCTACCCTGAATATTTGTGATTGTCAACACAGGTGTTAGATATTGGCCACAGTGATTCAGTAATTGGATATTGTGTTTTATGTACTTACTCTTTGTGATAGCTGTACCTCATATACAAATGGTGTGAAATATTTGTAACTAAGCCCATTTATGTTCAGTCTGAGTTCTTGTCTTAGACAACGTTTTGATAGGCTTTTCGTATTAGACATCCTCACCAGTATATCACGACTTCCCAAGGAAATTCATTGATTGGATATGCATGGATATTTCTAACACAATAATCTACCTGACTGCATTGTGAATGGTCATTTGGTATATCCTAAATCTGACTGATTGATGTTTCACCTCCGGGTGTCGTAATAAGGTGTTGAACTATGTCACTGATTGACTTCTTTCTTTTGTATGCATTGAGTTGTAGCCGCTTCTTTTTGACTAATTAATCTTCCTTGTTTGAATAAGTTAGCGAAGGCAGAGTTAATTTAATTGGTTGACTCTTCTGTACATGAGAGGGGTGGTTAATATTGATTTTCTATCACTTGGTACACCTTTTCTGTTTTCAGTCTGACAAGGTCTTGGAACTAAGTCTCATTTAAACTAAGTGCAGAAAAATTCTTTTTGAAAACAAATCTTACAAAATACTTCCTGTAGACAGTGTGCTGCTTTTTTGATAGTATAGTAGCTGTGCATTTAAGGAGTTGAAGTACTTTAACGAAACAAGTGACTACTTGATCAAACTCGATAATGAGTAGCAGAACACTACAAAAGCCTCCTAACTTCATAAATAGTAAAATTAGGTGTTTGACGACATCATCTTTTTTAATTACACTCATCTATACTTTCTCCTGACCTTGATATTTACCAACTGTTTTAACATGACAAATTTAAGCGGAATACTCAACGCTTTAGTACCGTCAGAGATCCTGTTTTCAGTCAAGGATCTTAAGTAATCTTGATTGAAACAACAATTTTTATATAGTAAACAAGTCAATTTTTTTTAATATAATCTTATTTGCTGAAAATGTTTTTAAATAGGTCACTTTTTCGCAAGACAACGGATACCAAATCAGATACTCTCACATATCAAGCTTATATATCACAAGAAATAAATGAAAGTTTACATGTAAGTCACTGGACTATCTATCCACTTTTCTACTTCATTCGATAGAAAACATTTTTGTAAACTGTTTACAGTCTTAACAAATTCAAGATATGTAAGTATTATCAGTCAGAAAGATGAAGTAAAGGGAGACATTTCAGTGAATAACTTCGAATCCATTAGCTGGAACTTTTCTACTACAATGGCTGTTCTTTAGTTCACGCTTAAAGTGTTTATTTGTGACATTTCTGACACCATTCGGTTGGTAATATGTTGAATCAAACAAATTAGATGTGGTGTAAATGGAAACAAACTGAGATTGACTTTATTACACAAACACACGAGCCGATTCAAGTTGAAAGGTTTTGTGCACTGGAGTTCAGTAAGCATGATATATACAGACAAGTTTACAGATTCTCAGTCAAATATCATGTAGTCGCAGGGTGAATACTCACTAACTGATATAAGTCCATGATGAATACCAACCTGGAATCAATGAACAAATCCTCACAAAATCTCCAAATTTTATATTCAAAGTGTTCACCAATTATCATTCAAACAAATTCGGAATACAAAGTAAGACCAACATTTCACAGAAGTAAATGTTATACAGAAGCGCCATATGTCTATGAGTTGTAGTTCATGAAATCACTGTGAAGGACAATAAAGTAAACAACTAGCTTTATGCCACATATACTGTAATTGGTCTGTCTCCTTTTATCCAATTGTCTACAGAGCAGAAACATACTGACGATATTGCGGCAACATCTAACTATCTGTAAATCAATTTAGAGTTGCTTTTAAGTGGAATTAAAGATTTCAACATTGATACGTCGACTATTAACCTCTCGTTTTCAAAACACTATCACACAAAAATTAACAGCAATTAACTTGCAGTTCTAAAACTGATTTCTGATGGAAGTTTTAAAACTGAAATTGTAAACTGTGTGTACGCCGTAAATAACAGTTAGCCACAGAAATATATTCACCGTTATAGAACTGTCGATAATATTCTCACCTATTATGCAAAATCAAACTGAAGGTGAATGAATAAATCCATAAAACCAAGACTTACTTTAATCAACGGCTACTGGGTATAGAGGTTATTAGATTACGTTGAAGGTTAAACAAATACGTGGGTACCAGTGGTCATAGTATACTCCTTGGACAAAAAAGAGTCTTAAAGTTAAGCCGACAAAATACTGTGCTGATACAGGAAACGTTCACTCATCGATGTGCCTCTTGTGTGATATAAGTTAACTCAGGCAAATATTGAAAAAAAACCAACTGTTGACTTCATCTGTCTAAACGAACTCTTCTCCGTGCTATACAGTGGGAGTTATTCGGTAAGTGTGCCTGAATCTAGGTTACATCCATGTGGCACTCATCAGCAAATAGTATCTGAAACGTTGAAAAAAATGTTGTCTCGGAGATTGAAACCTGCGTCCGTGAGTACTAAAGTCAGAAATCTTACCAATAAACTACCCCAGAATCACCTGGTCCAGTGATCAAGCTTTAAATCTTGATCAGTTAACTACCATCAGTGCTGAGTGATCACTAAGAGCTAAAAAGCTACGTTGATTACTTACTAAAGACAAATCAGAGTAGAAAAAAACCTTTTTCTTTACTATAAGATCAGGCTGATACAAAATATCATAACAACTTACCGCTAAATTACTATTTGGTGATACAAAACACTTACCTGCAGAAAATGTTTTGGACGACACATTCATATGACTTAATGTTACTTAGTTTGTAATAAACTATTAGTCGTAAGCTGTTACACGTCAATAAACGTTGAATGTATTTAAGCTTTGCAAATCATTACCGTAGACGATCTGCGACCGATATCGAGAAGCAAAATGTTCCATACTTCATCCGTTTAGGAATCTCAGCGCTTTTCAGTTTTGTTTCTTTTTAATATAAACATAACTGTGGACGCCACACTCTTTTCTAACTTCGTATGAACCGATCTAATCATATAAGACTCATAAAACGGAATACATAGACCAATAAATCTTGTAAGATAACCATGACAACCACCTGTAGATTTGCTTGACCACTTTGCGTAATGATATAGGGACACCTGCAATACGTTTCTTGTCAACAAAATAAAAACATATGCTCAAGAATAGAGGATACAAAGGTTCTTATTACTAACCACGTCACTTACTTTCAAAGTAAAATCAATTCTGATCAGTTAGGGGCAAATGAAATCCCTGCTCGGATAAAAAAGTTCACTTGACACAGACTTAGTTACATCATTAGTAGCGTTGACAGAAAGTTTAAATACTGACCAAGAGTCTAGTGTACTGTACAGAAATTCACCCTATCTATATGCTTCTGAAGAAATAAACACTTAGGGAACATTTTCCAAGCATAAAGAATTCCAAAAAAAGTGATTTTTATACTGAAACTTGTCTATGGTAGGATCATTATATGAGCCACGAAGATGTTGAACTTAGAATTTTTAGTCAAGACAGACAATTCAGTTATGGATCTGGCATGTTACTCATACAAATTTGGTGTTCAGGAAAATGCGCATTGTTAGCTGGATGATCAGACCATCCAGGGTATCCATTCAAAAATAAATGGATACTGATGTGAGTTAGGTAAGAATATGTAGGCTTACTGTTCACTGTTCTCAAGACAATCAAACCAGATGGTTGAAGATACTAGCTAATGCAACTGAAGGTGGACTTTAGTGATAGGAAAGGCAGCACATTACCTTAATCTGACTCGTAATATAATCCATCTTTTTTATTTTATATTCTTTCCTCTTCGCTGTATGGTTCTCCTAAATTGCATTTTCTTCACTTTTCCACCTATCATCTTGTCGACCTGCCCACGTTTTACCTTAGAATGAAGTGTAATGAAACAAAATGATATGCTGTTGCTCAACTTTAAATGTTCATGTCACTACCAAGTTGCCACCTTACTAACAACTGAAATTCTTCATGATGAATCTCATTATTAGGCAATATCATGGTAGGTAGGTCACTCATATGCTCGTCCTGGATTCCTCTGCCATCCCGAGGAAAATAAATTACCGCAATATCACAGGAAGTAAAAGGCTGAAGGAGGTTTTAGTAGGCATTGTGCGTAAAATTTAGTGCATAAGTTTATAATTACAAAAGTAAGAGACAACCAGAATTTCATTTCTCTTACTTAGGAATTGTATCGCTTGGAACTACATGTATACGATGAAGATGTATTTGATGCACATGATCTCATAACCTATGCAAGTGGCTTGTATCAACCGAATACAATGAGTACATTTCAGAAAATTCCGCTACATTACAAACACCCAAGCACCTCCTTCAGGTAAGTCTAATGGTTTGATTCCTTATCTGTATTGTGTCAACAACTGACTACGTCAAACTGTTATTACCACTGTTCAGTAGAATTATAAGCGGTTTGCTAATAGATGGCTTAAATGAAAAATGCTTATCGCATTTCTGGTCAACATTCAAAGCGATAACTTTGGAAGATAGGCTTTGAATCTTCTCCAAAGTTGTCTATCTTAATAGTGTGAAGCTACTGGTTATTTACTCACTTTTGTTACCTAATTCTTTTGTTTATATATAATTTCATTATCTGTTCTTATAACTCAATTTTTACCAGCGTGCTCTTTTCCTTATTTATTGATTGCGAATCAGAATATCTGTTTAGTGCTCACTAACTTGAGTATAAGGCTTCTATAAATTAACTTGTATAACCACTTCTCCAATTTTCAGATTCTCACTGTAGCACTTATAAATGCCTTTTATACGTGCATTAGTAAAACTATTAGTTTATTGTTGTTCGTGGGAATGTAGGGGCAGTACTCACTGCTTCAATCCTAATGGTGTTCATAGTTTATACGATAATGCCACTAGTTACATCAGACTTACTTTTAAGGCCCTCACATCTTTCGAGTGGTATTATATGAAGCAAAACTATTTTATTGATTCGCGAGTTGTATTTTTTCCGAAACTCTCACAAGTTATTTAATGAAATCTAAGATATTCTATATCTGTTGCTGAATGTATCATTTGCTAGTTTAGAAGGATTCCTTGCAAGTGGACTGCTAACTAGGAACTTTAATCTCTAATTATAATATATATATATATATATATATATATATATATATATATATGTTAAGCAAGCCGTAGCTATCATAACACTGTAGTCTTGTGGAAAATGACTTCTAATTCAAAATTATGAAATCTTAGTAGACACAACAGCACCCATAGAGTGCAGAAACATCCAAATGATGAGGCGGAATGAGTATCTTGAACCGAACTTCCGGTCACCTCAGAAATATGATGACATCTGTCTTGAAGTGAACAAATGTGAGAAATCTTTATTTGTATTGTTTGATAGCACATCAGGATGATTTAGTATGAAGATGCAGATTCTAATCGGAAGACTTCTGCTTCTTAATGTTTCTAATGATGTAAATACAAATTCTATGTGTTAAAATTGAGAATCTTCGGCTTCTGGTTCTCTTGTCCGTAGATTTAAAAGTTTATGCTAATACATCACATAAAATTCTTATACTACTGAAATACCATCTGTGGATGGTTTTCTGAGTGCAACACTTTGGTTAGAATATAAAATTGAACAACAAGTCAACGTATGCTGCCCGTCTACCGAAAAGTAACCAGTATTATCTCATCGTCTCCAAAATGTTGCCTGAATTCTATTCATAAGTTTTACACTTTATCCGTTGTACAAAGTTGGATAAGTTTCTTTGAGGATATCACACGCATACAAGCAATGTCTACCTAACAGTCACTAGAAAGACTTACACTGAATCCCATCTTGCCCACAACAACAACTAAAGATGGCTTTACTAAACTGATCGGGTAACCAATGACACATAGTACAAATGAAGTAAACACACTGAATTTTTAATAAATGTTACCTAATATGATCTTTGTTTCACCTTAGTATGGATGTGTCCAGCATAGTACACCTATGACCTAGAAGGAAACTAAACTCATGGCCTTCAGGTTCCATGGTCAGGAAGATACCAATGAGCCTCTGGACCAGATTCCATTGGTTTATACTTTCCTACTTCTGTCAGTTTGCAGTATAGCATGATCTTCATCCAGTGTAGTCACTAAGTACCCGTCCTCATATCTAACTTGGTTTGCCCTTCTGATAACGACCTCTTATTAGAATTTCAAGAAATCTCATCTTGAAGCAGGTCACTAATGAGCACTGAATATTAATTCAGTTCGGATTTTGTAGGATTAATTGATTTCAAGTTGGTATTCATGGACTGACATCCTTTGGAGAACCAATGAACAGCCATTTTATCCTAGTATGGGACTCCTCAGTTGTAAAATGTGGATTACCGCCCGGCAGCTAGATGGTAATATAATCTTGTTTGATAGTAAAAGCTGACGAACTTGTATCCAGTAGACATTCTGAATGGTTAGTCCTTCAGAATTTAACCAAGTTATATTTTTTCATTATTCTCTACGTTATAGGTATTATAATATACTTTAAATTTCTTAAACTGCGTTTCCCCCATACCTTTCAAAGAAGTTCCATCTGTTTTTCAATTTTTGTACATGTATGTATGTACGCCTCTCTCTATATGTATAAATGCATATCAACATAAGACCAAGCATTACTGCGTAACGGTTCGAGTTGCCACAACTCATATCAGTACATCAAGTAAAAAGGCAGTGAAGTAGAAGAGGAAGACAAGAAAATTCGATCACAAGAAATATAAAGTACGAAAAGAGAGAGAGGAAAAATGAGAAAATGGTGAGACTCAGTATACCGTCGTTAAGATGAAGATAATGTACGTATACATCTACGCCACAGACATCGGTTCTGAGCCATATCACTTAGAGTCTCCAACCACTGGTATCTCTTGTCCCGTGAACCCCAACCGGCCAGTCGCCATACATGACTCAAACCAATGGTCAGTGACTTCATACAATAATGCCATGTTTTCTAGCCGGAACCTGCTTCGGCCAACATGGTGTAACAAGGCAGTCGGCGACTGTGCATATGTAACACGTGTCCCAACCATCTCAGTCGATGAACGTTCATAACCTCGTCAACTGATTTACCTCTACTCCCTAAAACTCTACACATGACATCTGCGTAACTCACGTGATGACACCACGGAATGCAGCCTACACTACGAAGGCAAGGGTGGTCAAACACTTGAAGCCAGCCTTCTCATGTCTTCCACCTTCAGTGGCCATGTTTCACAGCCATATAGTAAAACAGACAGGACTGCTGTGCGGTACACTCGACCCTTAATAGACAATCGGATATCACGGTGACACCATAGGTGACGTAAGTTGGCAAAAGCCAGTTGAGCCTTCTGTATCCGTGCAAAGATGTTATCGGTCACTGAGCCACCAGGGTTGATCCTACTTCCCAGGTAAGTGAAGTGGTCAACACACTCAACCACTGATATCTCTACTGTTAGCTGAGACACCTTTGAAGACCAATCCTAGAGCAACAGTTTGCATTTGGATGATGAGAAGTGCATCCCAAATAATCTCGAATTACCACTCAAAGTGTTCAGAAAACTCTGCATCTTGTCAGCGTCTTCACCTAACAGGACTATGTCATCTGCATATCCTAGGTCTAACGAAATTTCTCCTGTGATAAGGTCAACCTCTGTGTAGTCAGGTGACTAAAGGAAGGGCTCCATAAGAATACCTACGATAAAATTGAATAAGAATGGAGACAATAGGAACCCTCGACGAACACCACTTAACGAGAATAGCGCCCCGGATATCTCACCATAGGCTCTAAGATGCTAACAAGTGTTCGAGTAGAGAGCCTTGAATAAGGTGATGTACTTACTCGGCACGCATTTCAGTGAGAGACATTACCATAAGACTTATCGATCAATGGAGTCGAATGCCGCCTTCAGGTCGAGAAATACAGGTAGTTTCGGGCGGCTGTAAGCTATGTATGCATGTATGTATGTATGTATGTACTCACGCCTTAGCAAGCTGGATAATTAAAATACTCTGCAGGACACGATTTTGTACTTCATGCGACTTATACTCACAGACGCTCTAAATATACTTCACACCATAACGCTGGATTCATAGACAATATACTGGATTCATACAAGCAACCTCCATTTTCTTCCAGAAATCTGTGGCATTTACCGTCTGTTGCTGATATTTAATTTAGGGATAAAATAGCAATGCATTCTTCTCAATATATCAAACATAAGAGTGTTCAGTATTTTGTTTTTCAAATTTCTAATAGTAAAAATCTTTAGCTTAATACTAAGTGTACTTAGTCATCGCTATTATGAATCCATAGAACTGAAATATGAAGTCTCTCCTGACAAACGAACGTCTAATGTGGATGCTGAATAGTGACTTTGACCACATTTTGATTATACTGAGTAGCGGCCAGATGGAGAATTAGTGTCACGCACTTAGTCTTAGTTGTTCTCGTTCGGATGAATCTGCATTTATGTTGCTTCTCTAACTAAAACTCTGACTACATGCTAGTAGTTTCAAAATTCTAGACATTGACTATGGGGCCATCAGTGTATGTATAATTAAGCTACTTTACCTTGTCAATTGAGGGGTTCTAAATAAGATGAAAAGCCTGTATGAGGTTCAATCGCTATTTACTGATAAGTAATCTAATGATATTACATTATTTTACTTGAGATCCAGTGAGACATATTTATGCATAATTTCATTCTCCCTAACTCTTATCAACTGAAAGTGCCCATATCTTTGTGTTCCCAATGAAAATCAAACCAAATACCCAATACATAACAAGTATGGCTATATTCCTTAAGCCTCTTAGTTTATGAATTTATGCTTGATTATTAAATGCCTTATTAAACTATGTTAATGAAGACTTTATTTATATTCAGACTTTGTTTAACATTCTCACCGTATGACCATTTTGATTCGTGATAAATATTTTCTGCATTGCGTTTATTCAAGCTTAAGTGTATCCATAAGACTAAAGTGTAATCCAAATTATTATGGAATAAAGTGTAACGTGTACTGTTTTCCGCATTCATGGGCGTACAAATGTAATACTGATGGGACAAAATTGTGTACAGCTGGTAAGAAATATATTTCCAAACTTTCCTACTATGATCGTAATTACTTTCAGTCAACTACGTAAATATTTTTCTCTGAGCGATAATTTCGTTTTGTTTGTTTTCTTACAGTTCACTTACAGTGTGTATTCATACACTCTCCTGTAAATTACCAAAATAACTGATTGGAACCTATTAGGCTGTCTGTTAGTGAGATTAGACATCCTTATTATACTCAAGTTAGTGACAGTAAGAAAGTGAAAAAGGTTTCGTTTCAACAGAAGTAAAATGTAACAGTGAGTGTCATGGCCTTCAATAATATAGTGTATGCACCATCATACTATGCGACGAATAAATACTTAGCTTACATTATTTACCTGTGGGTTAATGTAAATCAGAAGAAATTAGGTTATATGCTACACCTCTGAGCCATATCTTGAGTCTGTAAGTACTCCTACGCATTTATTACTCCCTGAAATCTGAGAAATTCGGAGCAAAGAACCAATCATTTACACGATTTACCAATGAAGTATGTACTGTAATGCTAAACCATAACCCTAACTCTAACCAGTTGAAACTAGGCAGATTCTAAATTGGATCAAAGCCTCATGTTCAGTTACAAAACAGTAAAACGCTAGAAAGTACACCTTATTTACCAAAATAACTCCAAATCTAAGCAGAAACATACTATCCTATGCATACAGGGAAAAAGAAAAATCTCTTGTGCTTCACCTCTCAAAAAGTTAGCAGGTAACCCACTCACTTCTGAATGGTCATTTCATAGGCAGCATGATATTCCACTTCTACTATAGAATCACTTAGCATTTCATAATGAGGATGGGATGATTATTGCTGCCTCAAATTACTTCTCACTAATGGTAAAGTCCTATAGAATTATTTGAACTCTTTCGAGACTGCTTAATACCTACATTTGCTTAGATGCTTGCAAGTTGACAGAAGAGGCAGGGCAGCGAAGACGGGATTTTAAGTGAATATAAAGAAGACAGAGGTGATGAAGATAGCGCACCACCAACAACAACAAACTCTAGTCACCATCAACGGGAAAAACTTAAAGAAAGTAACCTCCTTCACCTATTCAGGAAGCACTGTTTCAACTACAGACGCCACAGGCACAGACGAGGATGTCAAAGTCAGAATCGGAAAAGCAAGACAGGCGTTCATTAGCCTGAAACCAGTGTAGAGATCTTCTGCACTCAGCATGTGGAACAAGATGTGGATTTTCAACACCAGCGTCAAGTCAGTGCTCCTGTATGGTTCAGATACTTGGCGCGTTACGAAAGGGATTTCCAATAAACTACAGAATTATTTGAACTCTTTTGAGACTGCTTAATACCTACATTTGGTTAGATGCTTGCAAGATTTAAGTAGCTTATCAAAAAATTAAACAATATACAGCTTATAAACTTAACTATTGAACGTTTCTAAGCGTAAGGCAGATTAAACTTAGCTATTATTATTTAATATCCTCAAATTTAGACCTTTTTTAAATCTTTTAAATACTTACTTTTAAGGGCTTATTCTGACAGGTTGCACTTGCCTGACTGAATGCGTTACTTATTAGCAGAAACAAAATTAAGACCTATAGATATGATTTTGAGCAGTGTATGCACATGAAACTGTTATATAATAAAATATACTAATACACCTTTCAGTCAGTTGTCTTGAAGAGATGGAACTCAGTCTACTTATTATGGTCATATGAGTTCAGTTGGTTTTTCTTTTAAAAATTCAGTAGTTGACAGTTAGCATTTCCTACTACTCAACTACAAATATTGACCGATAAGCAGTTTCGTGAATATGAACCCATTTTGAAACCACCCAAGATTACTACACAATATGGGACTTAAGGTGATCTTTTGAAGTTTGTTATTTTCCACAGATGGACACGTTTTATAGTAAGGCGGTCACTTTCCTAGAAACATTCCTTGATCCTTATTATTTTGAAAATCATTTTCAATAAAACTCAGCAACACTTTCATGTTTATCAATGAGTGGTTGAAAGACATATTCCCCTATGAATTGCAAGATGATTTATTTTGGCATAATCGAGAAATACGCAGAAGATTTGAAGATCAAAGAAACGGGACATCTATCAGCGAGTTTTATGTATAACTAAGATCTCTACCTACCGTATCCACAACCTATGAAAGAAATTATGGCTAGATTTAACAAGCAACTCAATCCGTAGACAAAACTTGACTCCATTTTAGCATATTTATTTTATACACTTTGTTACAGAGTTTCTCATGTTGACGAGAAATCCATAAACTTCTTCTAACTTTGAAGTGATTCTCTTGCTTAGATCAGAGCATGATGAATATTGCCTTTGGATGGTTCAGTTGTTCATATAAAGCGGAATAATATTTGATGCGCTTTATTGTGACACGAATAATTTCATCTCAGTAACATAAATCTTAAAAAAATTAATAGTTTATCACTGACTGATATCAGTTGGAGAATAACAGAAAACTTTGAAGTACTGAACAGGTATTTCGCCGTAGTATGAAACCCTTCAGCAGTATGCAACTACATAAATTGGTACCTAATTGCTTTATAATGTGTTAGAAATGACTACTTTTCAAATCAATATCTCCTCCATAAAATATAAATACGAACGACTATTTCCTATGTCCAAAGTGCTAAGTACATTTTTGTTTAAATAAAAGGCAGCTTGAATGATAAAATATTTCTCTTCATTTGTCTTCTGATCACTAACCCTACATGAATGCACAGGTCTTAATAAGAAAAACACCATTTTATTTTTATTCTTAATTAAAGACAACTAACAGTTTTAATTCCCTTATGAAGGCAACAAATAACAAAAATAATATGGAAATTGACGGGTACAGTAATTACAATAGCAGTGTAAATTAACGAGGAAAAGTTTACCATTTGACTGGCTGTGCAACATTTGATATTTAACTTAACAAACTGAGGCAATTGGTCCCATGTTGACAACAAATAACAATCGGAGATCAAGGAGAATAATAATTAAAAACTGAACAGAAGAGATGGTCACGTAAGTTCGACGGAGGCAATCGGCAGAAAGCCTCGTGCTTGTTGGCATTCGTAACCAAAGCGTATCTCGAGCCTCTATGGAACTGATGTTTTGCCTGAGATTCGAACCCTCAGCATCCAGTGTCACAGCCAAAAACGTGACCACTGAGATATCCGGGTTGCGACTGACCTTCTGTAAGATTGGATTAGATACTATGGTTGGTTACTGTAGAGTAACCAACTTATTGTTGTCTAGTCTTAAGTGCTGGTCAAATTCTATTGATCATTTTGCAGCGAAGCCGGAAGGTTATTTGACTTAACGTCACGATGTGCTTTGATAGATGTTAGCCGGATGGAGGAAATCGGCAAGCAACCCTGCTTATCCAATGATAAAGCTTATGACTGGGTTCGAAGGAATTTTTCTGGATGCATAAATCTGTTTATGAGATGTACGGTAGAGTATTTTTCCGTATGTAAATGAAGAGTATATCAGCCACACTGAACTATATATCACCATAAGTCAGCAAACGGATCATTTGTATGCAGAGGAAAAGCTATGACTTTACTCCATTTCATTGTGCATCTATAAGTTTAATTGCTATATTAAAGAGGGTTAAGTAGACTTCGCAAACCGTTACCTCTTTCAATATATCTCTGAATACTATCTTGTACATTTGTTGAAAGGAGAATGTGAACCGATAAGCAATTTAGTCTTCGAATATTCTGTCAACTCTTAACATGCAGTTCAACAGGGTTTGCCATTAGTATTATCAACAAAAATAAAAGTCACTTGTTCACAAAAACGGCGATTTTAAAAACTCTACATGACACTGGTAATTTACGTATTCATGGTTGATTTGTGTGTACAAAAATAAAGCTTCTAATTGTTTGCCTTTCTTTATCAACTATTTTTACACTCAAATAACATATTTCCACTCAAAGTAGTATTCGTCAGTTTGCAAACCATCGGAAACTTCGTCGTAATATGGGATCGCTTATCACTACATACATACAACCCTTCTAGGGATCAAACAATGAACCTTCAGATCTGCTGATGACAACATTACTATCCAACCACTGGATCAGAATCTCATGGTTCATATTTTATCACTTTTGTCAGTTCACTAAATAATGAAGCAGTCACTGAATGGCATCTGCGGGTATTTTTCCTCACATTCGACTTGACTAACCCCACAAGTCCCTAAGATAGAAATGTTTGAAGATTTGCTCCCAGATTTTCAGCAGTCCTTCAGTTGATGCCAGTTGGTGGTGAAAACTACTTTGAAATAAACCCGTCCCTGCCAGCCACTGCTTAAGTTCATCTGCAATAACATATTCTTGTCCCCCACTAAACAAATCTTTTGCTAGACACAGATATTGTTGGTTGGCAAGCAAATATTATAAGCACTTGTTTAATGACTAACGCGAAAAAAGTGTCCGCCATAGAATCAACTTAAAGCACTTGACATTCGAAGTGAAACAGGTAATTAGTTATCACATCTCAGTTGATAACTCGATCACCTCTGGTTCTAAAGCTGCAGCGACCCTGGTTTGCCTTCATATTCAGTCACCAACGCCATGGAAAGTAAAAACCACTTAGATTTTTGGTTGAGCAGTAAAGTTTGTGAGAAGAACCTAAGCGATTTCACTCACTGAAAATAACAGTATCGATAACCTACTCAATAGGAGAGATAACGTTTCACTCACTCTCGGTTTTCACTGATTATCAAATCAGTTTCTACATGTAAGGAGGACAAAACTGATTGCCGTGCATCCTATAGTACCCTTACTATATTCATTTGCTAATTTAAATACTGATTGATCCTGTGCAGTGTAACAAAAACATGAAATCAGTGGTAGGAAAACGTTTCCCCTACAAGCTTTAATAAACTAATTATAAACAGAAAGCCCCTTCTAAGTTTTACAAGAAATCCTACTAGTTATTAGAGAGTCCAAGTGCAGTATATAGTGAAATAAAGTTTCCCTTTAGCTGCTGATAAATGATGAGAAGTCCCTCTAATTTCGGGAAAGTTCAACATCATCGTCGATTTTTGCTCATCCAAATACAGTTACAAACGATGATTGGCCACTTAAGAGTAACCAATTGCATATGCTCTGATCCTAAATGCTCACCGAATTATATTGATGATTCATTGTTCTAAACATTCCTACCTCTTTAGTACGGGATAGTAGAGTTATACAGATGTCTTGAATGTATACTGAATCATTTCAATACTGCAGACTCAGAAAGAACTAACTCAGTACTTCCTGCAAGTACTTGAAGACTTCTATTATGAACGTGCAGAACTGTAAAAAGAGCCAACTGTCAAAAAATTTTGGCGTCATTGTGTATAATATCTGAAACGTTATCCAGATAATAAGCTTTTACTAAGTGACTTCTGGATAACGAACCATTACCTGAGCCCTACCGTTATATTAACGAACCAATTTGCTTACATTTCAGGTAGATACGGAGCTAATTGTGATTACGTTGATTTTTGTAAGATTTATCCCTGCCCTAAGAACACGCGCTGCAAAAATCTACCTGGAGAAAATCGTCGTAAATGCATTTGTAAAAACTATGAGGGTAATTAACTTCTTTAGTTTTAATTAATCAACCGATTATCGACTCTTGTGTTAAAGCTGTACAGTTTTTAGATTATCAAGATATCTTTAATTAATACAGATTATTCTGCATGTCTCCTGAAGTGAGACTTTTATCACTTGTTTTAGTTACCTCACGCATTCCTAACAAACTCAGCAGCCGACGTATACAGTCAGTATAAGATGATCAAAAATATTCATAGGATGGACAAGAATAAAATAGCGTTAACTGGTCGAGTTATCCAGTGAAGTACCAGAGATTTTTAACTGATATCTACATGTTATATCCTCACAGTCTGGTTACACACTTAACTGCCACAGTCTTTTTTTATAAAAGACATGTAAGCAGTATCGTGACTGTGTGATAAGCCGGAAGATGCAATACAGATCCAAAATCAGGTTAATAAACCCCAGAGGGCTATCTCCTTTCTTTGTAACAAGGAACAGGATGACTGTCGACCATTCTAAGAAATTCTCAAAACTTGTTTGCAAGTGGTGAACCAGGACTCTTAATGGATGGGACAGTATCTAAATGACCGCAGTTTACGACCGCTTCAGTATAAACGAGTACTTTTAAAGTGTTTGTTTAGTTGGGTTCAAAGGGTATGCACACACGTGACAAGCCATTGTACTACTTAGTGGGGATGAACCTCTCATGCAGATTTTTTGCATGTGCTCAGCAATTCTGGTAGGAAACTGCCTCACTGTTTTTCAGTGTATTGAAGTTGACAGGAGTTGGAAATCTGTCCAATTTGAATTTTTTTCGCATCTATTTTTTGATACCGTGACCCAAGACTCTCAGCTGAATAAGTTTTCGACAGTGCACTTCGAATTCGCCTGTTGACTAAGATCCCGACACATCTCCTTTGAAAACCAGAGTAAAAATATTGGTTTCTTTTCAACACTATTGGAATCCTGTATTCTCTCATACGAACTTAGTTGGATAGCCGTTACTGTAAAGATATAGCTTGATTACCTGAATTCTCCTTGCAGCTCTTATTGAAGTCACAATCTCTTCACCCTCCGGCATAAAATCATCTTATTCTGCAGATGATGTTCTCATTGAGTATTTCCAGTTCGCTAAACGGACCAAATGGATGAAACTCACACTGTTATTAGTTCTCACACGAGATGACAACCAGATACTGAATGAATTTCTGAAATGTTTTCAATGAAATAATTACTGACAAGTGATGTATTGAGAGAGTAGTATGCTTTATGTCTGTATAGATGTATATGGAAAGTTTCGTTCCCAGGTAACGTCATTAACAATCAAAGAGTAGGGGGCGATGGTTTCATCATATTACAAAAAGCATGATGACTGTTCACACGTCTGTTTGTACTGTTAGTTACATTTCACTAATTAGTTTCAAAATCCACTAAATTAACTTTGAAATGTTGCTTATTTTTAGGTGCAGAATGTCATTCATTTTATTATTCCTGCGATCGATCACCGTGTAAAAATGGCGGTCAGTGTACCCTACTGCGTGATTTTATCGAAAATGACAACACTGGTGTATTGGTGAATAATGTTCAAAACATTGATGACGTCCCTGAAAATACTGACGATGAAACGATATGTATTTGTCCAGATAACTGGACTGGGCAGTTTTGTACGAAACCAGTTGTTGACTGTATAGTAGAAAATGAAAAGCATGAACTTTCAGATACAAGACGTACAAATCGTTTTTGTTTAAACGGCGGGGTTTGTATAAACCATTCCAGTAATGCAAGTGCTCGATGCTCATGTCCGCCTGAATGGGATGGATATTTTTGTGAATTGAGTAAGGTAAGTGGAAACATTCATTGCGCAAATGTAAAGTTGGTAAGTCAAGTCGTGCCTCAGATCATTAAGTTAACTAAGCAACGAAACGGATACGAATGTAAATTACTTCAAAGAATAAGTAGCTAATCTAAGATCCTGATTTAACCTGAATAATCCTGTTGTCATGTCACTCCAAGTTGGCTGTCTAGAAGTACACCACCAGGGACCGGAAATGCCAGACATTTTTGTTGAAATCCAAGTTTCTATTGAGCAGAAAACCTGGGTATTCCTGAATCAAGAGATAATGCATATAAATAAGATGCAAACCAATCTGGTTACTTCGTTACGTAATGCTAAGGCTATACAGCAGTTTTTGTTTCTAATGATGTTAATCAGCATGTAGGGTAAACCACTTCCAACTGTTCCATGTTCAGTGATCACTTGAACAGACTGAGGACAGCACAGTACCAAGTGCTTACAAAATGCATGATAAGAGGTGAGAATCCCATCAAGGAACAACAGGTATAGTGAAATCAAAGTCTAAGGGACAACTCCTTTACTTGTCCTATGAGGCCTTCAGTAATGAAAACGCCTGAATCAATAGAAATCCATACCTAAAGCTTTAAGATCAGGGCAACGAAGTTAACATTTAGCTGTAAATGAAACCATAGCTTTCAGTGTTAACTCAGTCGACTCAACTGAAAACTATTAAATATATTACTTAATTTATTCGACATTTAGGTGTATGAAAACACTTTCTTTTGACACCATGTTCACTCTGTAACATCACGTCTAATTCATTCTCGAAATACTTATAAGCTTTTGAGCTTATGAGTAACACCTTGAAATCAATAAATGTTCACAAACCTATAAACCTTAGTAGTGTACAATACTCATTAGTGATATGCTTCAAGATGTGATTTCCCGAAGTTCTGATGAAAAGTCAGAAACAGTGGGGGAAACCAAGTCAGATATGAAGATAAATGCTCGCTCTTGGCACTGAATGATGGTTGTGATATATAGCGAATTAAGAGAAGTAACAGACTATGGACTATTGGCTTCCAACATAATGGCAACGTGGTTGACAGGAGAACTGACGGTCCAGTGTTCGAGCCATTAAGGGACTGTAGATGAGCACTGTTGAATAATCCAATATTAGGAGAAAGTCCCTGTCCACTGCTCGCAGGTTCACACTGAACCCCTCCAAATGATTTCAGTCCATGGCGAATACTAATTCGAAACAGTTATTCAGTACTTAAATTCTCAAAATTGTGAATTCCGTATCTGTTTCATCAGTAGTTAGTCTGTTGTCTTCTTTTCAGTCGATCTATAAAATTTCACAGTAAAGAGGAGAGTGTACTAGTGCACGAAGAGTTTCCCAACGCACCAACTGACTTATGAGGGGGAAAAAAATTATACCAAATTGTCTAAACTATTTATGAAAAGAAACAAGGCTAACACTATCACTGGTAGGAGAATTTTCAAAATAGAATCATATCATAATCTATTAAACTACATCACTTATCTGTTTGTAATACGAAATGGCTGGATAACTGTCTAGCTGTAAATGTGTAACCGGTACTGAGGCACTTATTTTATGAGACAATTTTAAGTTTAGCCACATAAAGTGAAGCTCAATCAGCTCACCTTTTAGCGTCTTAAACTGTAAAGTAGGATGAAAATAATCTAAACATACTCATGACAATAGTTTTAATTTGTCGTAATTAGAATTTGCACATGTAAGCATAATATCTGTAAGAGACTTAACTCTTATCTGAGAGGTTGATTGCTTTATCCTTTCTACGACCTTGTTTTCCATCCAACTTTAGTCAAACTTATTACTACCATACACAAACATTGATATATGTATTAATCAGAGCTATTTTATTCTGTATGATCCACTGCTTGAAAACATTAATTTCTCTTCATTCCAGGGATGGTCTGTTGGGAAAGCCTTCGGAGTCGTTTTCACTGTCGTTATTGCTATCTTTTTAATTCTTTTCATTGGATTCTTCGTTTGGCTATACTTTTTATCAAAGTGAGAGATTTTACTTCATGAAGTCATTTTATCAAATGAAAATTCAAGTTTTTCATATTAATCTCTAGGAAATTATTTATGATAACAATGAAAAATCAACTCATTTGATAGAATATGTATTTTTATTAACCGTTTTCCAGGCTTAACCGATACATTATAGCCTAAGAATGAAGTGCATGTACATGATATTTAGGTGAAGTTTATTTGGAACAAGAATAATTTGAGCAAACATTTGTTTTCAATAACTTCTCCTTCTTCTAGCTATATAGTTACAAATCCACGAGAATAAGAGAAACCATAGCCAAAATAAGGCATGATGTACAATTATTACTAACATTTGACTACCTGGGGTAGCCGTAGTTTGGCAGACTAGTATTTACACTGTGTGATGAATGAAGTTGAGGTGAAAATCCTAACCGCAACCGGATTGGAACCAGCGACCACCAGAAAAAAATTATTACTATATTGAAACAATCAGTGTTATGGGTAAAGGAGATCAAATCGAGTAGAATGGTGGGACTGTTATCAGTCTAGTGTGTTAGTTGTGCAAGGAAATCAATATTGACAGAACAGTTAGGAAATGAGGCAACAAAATCTACAGAGAACGATTCATATATGTATGTATATTTATTGCAGTATGATTGTGTATGTGTGTTTGTTTACTAAGAGTTAAATAATAATAATATAGTGATGGGGAATAACAAATATGAAGTGTTACGTCATGGTTGAAAATGACAACCTATATTGGTATGAATAAAGAAGAATATAAAACTGATAATAAGAAAATGAAAGTTGTATAAGGTATATTTTTACTTGTATAATCCCAAGGAAATGAACGCTTATCAATGTAATGACAATATAGAAGAAAAGGGTGGGAGGTTAAAATGTGCAACTTGTGGTAGGAAAGTTCATAAAGAAAATATCAACCCTATTATGAGTCAAGGTAAACAAAGTGGATGTACACATTTCTTTCAAGCAGCTAGGCCCGATTTTCTTGTATTAATCCCTATGACCTTGGCTATGGAAAAGATGCGAAGTCGTGAACCTTCAGAGAGATTGTAAGGGACACATGGTATACCACAAAAAAAGCGTGATCTAACTTAATCTAATCTCCGGTATCTACTAGATGTGAGAGGATTGCACTGTTGATGCGCTTATTATTTTATTTTTATCGAGATTTATTTTATATTATAAAGTACTTCAAAGTTAATATAGAAAACAGAGACTGATGAACACAGGTTGATGACTAAACAAATGGTGTAAAATTAAAGTTCATTTTCACCTCTACAAATGTCTCCATTCTTTCTCAATTCAAATTTATATAGAAAGGCAAATGTAAGAAAACGAAAAGGAATAAAGTGTGTATTTTTTTAAATGGCTTCAACAAATAGTGTAGATGACTCTTCTCAGACACATCACTACTTACGGCTTTCTAATATGTGAAAAATAGTTTCGAAAACACTGACCAACTATATGCAAAAAGATCACTGTGTCAAAAATGAGCTTAGCAAATAAGGGCAGACTTACTTGTTAAGCTAAGGCAATTTATGTAAACCTCTGCTGCCTCAGCTTTTTGATATATACAATAATAAATCTTGACAGACACATAACCGATCAGTCAGCTATATAACTGGGTAGAAGTCAAGTGATAATTTTGTTCAGTCACTAATTTTTCTTCATCACATATCTACTGAAAGATTAAATCATTTTGGCAATTGATAATGTTGTTTCTGATTTTCGAAGCGTGCTCACCAATTCTTCATGAATTCTTTTTAAAGGTTTCTGGAGATATATTGATTTCAATATCCTGTTCATCATGGACTGATACCAGTTAGGAAATCACTATAAACCTGTTGACATTGAACAGCTGTTTCGTCTTAGTATGAAACATCCACGACCCAGAGCCACCAGGTTTTGTGGTGACCGATGTACTCCTGAGACACTGTGTTATAAACTAATACTCCATACTACATATAGTATGACCATTATACAATGCTATAAGTGAATATTTGTCCTCACACCTGACTTGGTTTGCCCCACTGTTAATGACGTCCCGGCAGAATTTGGGAGAATTCGATCTCGAAGCATGTCATTGTTGGGCACTGAACAGCAAGTCAGTTAAGAGGTTTACTTGCGCTAGCTGACTTCAGAGTGGTAATCATCATGAACTGACACAATTACATTTCATTAACATAATTTACTAAACTTTCTGTTATTCCAACTTGGCGTCACTTCGACTACGCATCGATTTTCAAATGTCACTTCACCAATTGCTTACGAATTTCAACCTCGTCACGTTATATCACGTTAACTCACACCTACGCAATATAAACTACATTTCTATGCGGGAAAACTGGTGGTTAAAGAGTGAAACAAATCCGCAGCCTATCGAAACATAAGCAGAAGAAAATTTTGTAAGCATAATTTCTTCTTGATGAAAATCTTTACTGAATATAATCTAAGGGAGATTGAATAGTATCTCATTCGATAATCTTTCTTTCATAAAATGACTTTTACATTTTGTTTTTCTTTCAGACGCTCACACATTCAAAGACGTTACGAAATCACTTATCCATCCGAGTATCAATATAATGATATGAACGTCAATAAAAAAACTAATGGAAATATGAGAGTTTACACGAAGCCTAAAACAACCCTCTGCACTGCAAATGATGAACGTTCACCAACTGGTCTTCGCACATTTGGTAAAGCTATCAATTCTGAAGTGAATCCTTTAAAAGTACAGAATGACTATGAAATACTGTATACAACAGAAGGAATAAACAATAGTAATGATAATAGCGATTTCATCAGTAAGAATGAAGAGACTGATTTTCATAAAACACTTGAAACTTTCCCTCCAAGAGATGGAAGTTATGATGATGATGAAAGTATTTACGTCAATTGTAACAGTCTGATATTAGGCAGAAAACAGAACAATTCATCCAGCGACTTTAAACTAAATCCTTGATGAGTAGTCTTTACGTTACACTTCATTTATTGATATCAAATAATGAAATGTAATCGGAGAATTATGTTGGAGACGACATGACTATCATAAATTCTTTTATTTTTGGTTTAACTTATATATTCTCAAACAAAAGATATCATTTCCTATCCTTTTTTGCTTGTCAGCCCACAAACTGCACTCTTCATCGTTTACCACTCTATACCATTAGCTACCCAAGTTCCGAGTGGAGAGTTATTTCATAATGTTGTGTTCATGCTCTTCTCGATACTTTTGTTGTTTAGCGTGACAGAAAAAAGTCAAAATCATACTGTTGAAGGTATTTCACTGAGAATTCGGAATTCTGGCAATCTGAAATAACACGAAATCTATCCATTTTCAGTAAATGCCAATTGTGTCAGTTTTACTGGCCTTCAGTTTAAGTGTACTACAGAAGTTTTTCAAAGTATTGAGAGAAAAAAGTGACAATCTGCTCTCTGTAGTATCACAGACTATCGCCTATCTTATTTCATATATAAATCATGTTGCTTCACAAATTTATAAAATACTGGAGACATCTATGAAAAATAATTAACTTCATCTTTCATATTTGGTACGTTGTGAAAATATTCAAAAGTGTTTGTATTTAAATGTAGATATAATAAGAACATAATAAAGTCGAAACCAATGTGTGTTTTTCAGAGATGCAACCTTTAAGCTAGACGAATCTCACTCCATACCTGTAAGTAGTAAGTGACAAAACATGTAAAACACTGAGTAAGCTCTTCCGTTAAGCCAACGCTACACGGTAAAGCAGTCATATAGATTGACAGTAAAACTCAATAAACCTGTTGTAATATTGAATAATACTCAAAAAATAATCAGTCCCTGGAAGAAAAAGCAATGTCAAAGACCATTAAAACAAAAGCCACAAGTTAAGGCACTCTGACTTTTATGTCACAGTTTTCGAACCTCCAGTCACTATTATTATTATTATCATTATTAGTATTGTTATTATTATTATTATAACATTATTATTTCTCCCCTGGGTTCCCAGTGGAACATAGGGCTTCAGTAGCATGTCTCCATACCACTCTCTTCTCTGCAGTTTTTTGAACCCGGCTCCATATCTACCCAGAAGCTTTCATTTCATACATACACCATCTCCCCCATTATCACCCCCAGCTGCAACGCCCAACTCGCCGTTTCCCAATGGCATTCCACACAACAGCCTGCTCTGGCTCGTGATATCTCCAATCAGTCTTCTCAGTGTAAGCCCAATCCATCTCCACTTCCTTCTGCACATTTGTTCAGCCATAAGTCCTTGGTTCGTTGTTTGCCAGGCTAGAGTTCCTTCTTGCTTATTCTTATTATTCTGGACATCTGATATTCACTATCGAGCCAGAGTAGGCGGCAGCTGTTGATGAATATCTCTAGTTTGTTGGAAACGCTTTTCGTAATGTACCAAGTTTGTGAACCATCAGTTAGAAGCACTGACTTGACTTTGGTGTTCAAAATTCGACACTTGTTCACGCTCTATGCTGAGTGGAGTGCAATACATTTCCACACTGGTTTCAGACTCGTGCAGGAAGGCCCGTCTCGCTTTTCTGATCCCAGCTTTGAGTTCCTCATCTGGTCCAACGCCACCCATAGTTGAAACGATCCATCCCAGACAGGTAGGTGGAAGAGACTACTTCGTTCAGGTTTCTCCCTTCATGGTGATTGGTGCTTGTTGTTGATGCTGTTGTTGTTGGTTGGGTATATTCATCACCTCTCTCTTCTTTACGTTCATTTGAAGTCCTATCTCCACTGACCTGCCTCTTCTGTCAACTTGTTGGTTTTGCCAGTTGCTCTTCGAGTTTCTGTGACGAGACATTACACATAAATCATCATCGGTGAAATCTAAGTCTTATTCTAGGCTCTTTTCATATGTCTAGCCAATGTATGCCACTCTGCTCGCTCCTCACAGTTCGTCGCATGATCCAGTCCAGCTCAGTGCACCACAACCAGGAAGATGGTCGGTGATAGTAGGCAGCTTTGTCTCACTCCTTGCTGTCTTCACTTCGAAGGCGTCACTAAGCTTTCCATTGTGAATCAACTGGCACTTGACGTCGTCATTGTCGTTGAATGAGGTTTATAGAGGTTTATGGTACTCCGTATTCTTGAAGCAACTGCTTGCCAAACTACTTCTCCGTCGATGCTGTCGAAGGCCTTTTCAAAGTTGATGAAGTTGAAGTGATATGGAGAGTTGACTGCCATTCTATGCTCTGTTCTATAATGATGTGTAGCATTACGTTGCAATTTGATCCACACATGATTTCTTCTTCCTGAAGCCAGCTTGTTCCAGTCATAATTTTGAATGCAGGGCATCTTTTAGTCTCTCCACTATGATGGTGCCTAATATTTTGCTTGGTGTGAGAATGAGCATGATTCCACATCAGTTCTTGTTGTTGCAAAGACTTGTTTGGCCCTTGCTTAGGAGTGTGACAAGGTAGCCCTTCTTCTAATCAACCGACAGGTACTTTTCCTTCCTTCCTTTCCTCGAAACCTTGTGCAATAATGGTGTGAGCATGTCGGCTGTTGTTGTCTCTGCGTCTGTTTTCAGCGTTTCTGGAAGAATTTTATCTGGTGCCGCAGCTTTCCTGGCTCTCAGGACCTCACTTCTGCTTTTGTGTCAGAGTTTGTGTCCACTGATAGTTCTGTGGCTGATTCGCTGTTGGTATTTCTGGACGAGTTGCAGGTGATGATGGTCAAGGTGTTCGATTTAAAAGTTTCCTGAAGTAGTCGTCCGATTGTTTCTTCTGTTACTCTGCTTTGGTGACAAGGTTTCCTTCACTATCTTTCATTGGTTACATCTGCACTGGTCGCTTCACATCGAGATAATTACCTGGTCATTTGATGGAGTGTTGTCAGGCCTCTCCTACCTCCAGTGGCCTGTTCTGCTTCACTTGCAAGTGTTTCATAGGGGTGTCGTTTGTCTTTTCATGCACTCTTCTTCACTTCTTTGTCCAGTGTTTCATAGGTTGTATTCAGTTCCTTTTTTCGTAGTTCATTCCTGCACTGCACTGGTTCATCTTCTGCTTCACCATCTTCCTCTACCTTATCTATCAGCTTCAATGTGTCCGTCGATATCCACTCTTATTCTTTCTTCTCCCTTCCTGATACCGTTATGCAGGTTTTTTCCACATCTCTTTCAAAGAGTTCGTGTTCTTCCACGTAAGTTCCTTCAGAGATGTTCCTCAATGTCTCCCATTTTGTCTTGATGGCTGAGGTGAAGATGTCCTTCGTAGCCTCGCCCTTCAGTTTATGTTCTAGGTGTTGGACTCGAACTGTGGTCTATCACCAACTTCTTTGAAGGCTTCAACTCTATTTTGAAGGTAGGTTTCTTGCACTGTATAGTGGTGTGAGTGGTGTGAACCTACATCTGATCCCCTTCTTCATTTGATCTGATCTTGTGTCCAGTGAGCTGGCAATTCGGGCATCTTTGTTAGGTCCACATACTGTTCGGATATTCTATTTCCCTATGCTTACTTTTGCATCATCGAGAGAAGATACATCGGTCAATTGGCTTTTTGGAGGCCTTCACCAGCCGGCGTCGTTTCATCTGGTCAATCCCAGCGAGGAATGCGTTTGTTTTTGTTTTTTATATTTTCTGTGTGCTTTAAAGTTTTTCTGGCGACTAAGTTGGTTTTACGGGGTAGGGTTGCTCGCTCTATGCTCAACCTTCCCTCCATATCCGGGTTTAAGACCGGTTAGTAACTAGTGAACTAATTAACCAAGCAAGGTTGCCAGTCACCATACTGAGTCGATACTAATGCTGAATGATACAGCTGCATCAACTTATTATGACCACTTATGAAAAGTGTTTGTTTCCGTTTGAAAAAGTCAAAATTCAATGGCTTATGAAATGAAAAATTAAAAAGCTCAACCTGAGGTAGAATACAGTAAATTATCCATAAGGATACTATCATCTGAACATTTTAATTTACCAAGCACAGTCATGGCTTCGACCATCAAACTATTCCAGTTATCCTGCAGATTATTTTATATTATTCACATACAATTTATCAAGCAAGAATACAACTCATTTTAAAGCAAAAAGCTCGAAAAAGTTATGTATAGTAAGAGTGTTTCTCTCGTGTAAAACATTCCCTAGGTCATTTTCATAGATTTATACGATAGTGGGTTTATGCAATGAAATCAACTTATATTTTAATTACCTTACTTTTGACTAGCTTAAAGCTTAAAAATGAGCATAGAACCAATGAATAAAGAACCCTTCTTAGTGGTTTTTCAGTGGGACTTCCGTAGAAATTGCTACTTTTCAACTTATTGATGAAAATATATCAATTAGCGATTTCACCATCATGAATGATAACTGAAAACAGAGTTTATATGAATAACAAGAAATTCTTAACAAATTGAAGCAACAGAATTATGTAGTGCATTTATGTGACTGAAAAGAGGAAAAACAGTCATTTTGAGCACTGTAGGATGACAATCTGCTTTACTATATAGGTTTCTCACCAGGTGCTTACACATGGTATCAAAATATAAAATGATACCGGAAGTTTATTATACTACAGTTACCTGGATTTTAGTTAGATCAGTAAGCAACATAAATAGAAATCAACATATAATAAAAATCACAGTTAATCACAAAAACAGCTCATCGGCTGATTGTGACTTTTATTCACTGTACAGCTGAGAACTGTGCAAAAATAACGGGGAAAGAAAATAAACCGTTTATCTAGGTCACTGGATAAATTAGTAATATTATTTATTTATTTATTTATCTCCTCACTTATTCATTTGTTAGAACATAGACATGGCACAACAGGTGCACCAAGAAATGCTAAACACAAAATAATATAATACTATTTTGAAGACATAAACCAGAAAGAAGTGGGCAAATAGAAAAACGCAATAAGAATAGGATGATTAGAAAGGCAGTCCAGTAAGATACATTCAGAACAATAGTTACTTTTCAGCAGCAGAAAAAAGAAGTGAGCTGCAACATGACCGCCTCTGGTCTTGATTCTGAACCATATCTGATAACGTCTTAAATCCTGAATTGCGGGATTTCTCGGACCCAACCCAGGGGATCGTTATGCATTAAAAGATGCCAACCTGATAAAAGTATTCTTCATCCCACGGCGCCACGTCACATAATGACCACCCTTGAGCTTTTTCCATCCACTTCCAGTGCCGGCAAACAGCGAATGGTATAGTAGCCGTTGGGAAGACAAGCATAAGGCATCTCTAAGTTGGCATTTCCAGATGGCTTCACTCATTGAATCATGACCACTTTCATACCCAAACACATATTGTCACTGGACATGAGAAATCCTACGAAAACAGTGACCGTCAAGCACACACACGTCCTAAGCTCAGAGAGTCCAGGTTTCACAGACGTACAGAAGAACTGCTTGCATCAGAGCATTGTAAGCCCGGCTTTTTACGCCTGGACTAACGTCGCCACAACGCCAAAGGTGGCCTAGATTAGAGTATGCTGCTCTGGCTTTCGATGTATAGTTAGATATTTTGCAACTCAAATCTTCACCAGCACTAACAAAACTGTCCAGATACAGAAACCTTCTGGCTACTTCAAACGGCTCACCACAGAGAGTGGGCCCAGGCATACGCTCCTGCCGACCTTGCAAGAGTACTTTGCACTTCAAAGATT